TATCCAAAATGTACAATAGATACTGTGAAGGTGATGGGGAGGAAATGTGTAAAGCTGGAAGCAGTGGGTGCTTATAATGCATTTAGGGAGGAGCATGCCGCTGTCCGCTGCTCATCCTGACAGGCATGAAGAAATGGGAGGCACTGATGAGTAGGTGTGAGCCAAGGCAGGGGGCTTGGCAGGACTTTGGGTAGCAGCGTGAGAGGAAGTCAGCGGGCGGCAGCAACTTTTGGTGATGAGTGGTGGTGGTGGGGATATTTCTTCCTTGAGATAAGAAAGTAGGCTGTGCAGGTGCTCCAGATGAAACTGCCGACCCTATACTTCCTCTGCCTTTCTTGTCCTGTGTTCCCATTGTAAGAGGGCCACCCTGGGGGAGTGAACACATTTCTAATGTGCATCTTGGCCTCAGAAACACATTCCTGCAGAGTAACTGAACACTCTGACTGGAGACTTCTGTCCCTTTTGGAAAGAAATGCAACACAATACACTAATGGTTAATGGCATTCTTTTGAGACCCCATAAGAGCGAGGCGCCTGTTGTACGTGGGACCGCTCTCCCTGGTGTCACCCTTCTCTAGGCTACCTTGCTGTGGGGCGGCCTGGCTCACGTCTGTTCTGTAATAAGCTTTCTTTTCATTTTCACTTTAGAACCAGTCTACAAACCAGTTCTGTCTAACATAGGGCAGCTACCATGCTAGCTGCTAACAGAGGGCTGCTAACAGAGTGGCTGGAGCAAAATGTTAACTGTAGGATCCGGATGGGAGTGGTTTATGGGTTTATTGTAAAGTTCTTTAAAATTTTCTGAATGTTTGAAACTTTTCAAGAAAATCTATTGGTGTAAAGGATGCTTGTCAGTGAAACCTTGGTTTGCAAGCATAATTTCTTCTGGAAACTTGTTTGTAATCCAAAATACTTGTTTGTCAAAGTGAATTTTCCTGTAAGTAATAATGCAAACTCAGGTGATTTGTTCCACAAGCCAAAAATATTCATATATAAATGTCTATAATACTGTAATTTAATATAAAATAATAAAGAAAATGCAAAATACAAAAAATAAATTAACCTGCATTTACCTTTGAAAACCCATCATTGCGGATATGAGGAAGAGAGGAGAGGAGGGTTATCTTTCACTGTCACTATCGGAACCACTGCTACCTTCTGGCCCAATCTTTTTCTTTTCATGCAGCTATCCAGTGACACTTGCTTTTGCCTTCTTTTTGGGATCTGGTGGAAATGTGGTATTGTGTTGTGGGTTAAGCAGATTTGTCCTTTGCACTACTACAGCCTTATTCAGGGAATGCTTTTCCATGGAATTTTGTGCTGTTTTCTACATTGTATACATCTCCCTAGTTTCATTTAAAACAAAGAATTCCTCTTCCTCTGCAGATGGGATCTCCTCCATTGTCTCTTGCCACTGAGAGGATCGCCCACAGTGGGGAGGTGTTGGCTCAGTTGTAACCATGTGACATTTAGTGTTGAGCACTACTCAAGTTTATCGAGTTAAAACTTACTAGAAATGTGTGATCATCTTGGGAAACAGGACAAGTTACAATCCAGCATTTTACTGTATTTGTTTTAAAGACACATTTATGGACAAGTCACACATTAAATCATAAGCATTAAATTTCTAAGTTTCTCTAATGCTTTCTTCCTGGCATTTCTCCTGCTTTCCTCAGTTAACTGCGCTCACATCTTGCTTCCTCCAGGAAAGTTCCCGCTAACTTCAGTCTGAGTGAGCCCTTGTCTCCTGTGTGTCCCAGGGTACTCCTTGAACACCTCTGCTGTGTAATTCCTCACTCTCTGTCTTTTCTCCTGTCCTTCAGTCACCCTGCTATGTTGTAGGTGGGGACTGGAAATGTCCACAACTATTTCCATTTTTGGCCTTTGAGCATAGATTTTGGCAGGTATCTGTGGCTTCATTGGATAGCATTCCGTTCATTTATGGTCCTTTTTTCTGGAGAAATTGACTGTATTTTTTTTTTTTTGAAAATAGCAGCTCAAAATGAGATGTGTATATGAAAGAATTTGAAAGGATTCGCACCCCATAGGCTGAAAAAATATTTGTCCACTTCCTGAGTTTTGGGAAGCAAGGTTGCCCTGGAGAAATTGTGGGGCTGTGATGGCTGGGATCTGAGGGTTGTGACCACATTTACCTCCTCAGCTGTGTCGGAAACAGTTGAGGCCAGAAACGAGGCCCCAAGTAGTTTCACATCCCTCATGCGGGGCCTGGTGGGAGGAGGCCTGCCCCTCTCCTACTTGCTCTAGTTTCATCACAATGCGGATGTGCTTAATTATCTAGCTAATTGCTTAGCTCACTCATTAAAAGCACATAATGAGGAAGGGGAGTGGGAGGAGGGCCTGGTGCAGGCGGGTAAACTGGCGAGCAAGGGTGAGAGGAGACAGAGGAGTGGTCAGGGACCTTGACTTGGAGCAGCCCAAGGGTCTTCACGTGGTTTATGTGGGTGCTGAGGAACTTCACATCATCAAGGAAAAGGCTGCATTTTATTCATTCTGCCTATTTCAGAAAACAGATTGGTACATGAAAAATAACTTACAACACTTCACAAATATGATCCCAAACAGATTTTAACATAAGAATATATAATTGAAATACTAGCATGGCCAGATGTGGCACTTGGTGGTTAGGCCAACATTCTGAGAGGCTGAGGCAGGAAGATCCCACATTCAAGCCCAGCTTGGGCAATTTAGTACATATAGAGATTCTATCTCAAAGTAAAAAAATAAAAAAGTTTGGGATGTGGCTCAATGCAAAGGCCCTGGGTTATGTCCCCATTGAGATATATTATAGTGAATGTGTGGTGACAGGATAATAGGTGCTTTTTAAACGGTAGTTGTATAGTTTGTGGACTTGCAAACAAGATCATAACTTTCCATTTTAAACACAACATACTTTTTGCTTTCAGAATGCCTCTTGTTCAACTCCATATAGTCTTGTCATGTTATTTTTCTTCAGAGGTTGCTTTGTTTTTGCTAAAATCGATCAAAAAATCCCCTTTTTAAATACGTGTTGTAATAAAAGTCCTACTTGTCCTGTGTGGCAATTTCCATGTCCCAGAAGTTGGGGCAGTGGCTGTGTTGCTTGGCTTCACCAGGGAGGTCCCAGGGAGGTTTAGCCATTTGATCAGCCTGGGTCTCCACTGCTCTGTCCAGCTGTTAATGTTTTGGCTTTAGGGGAGTGTAGCATTGTGGATTTTAGGGGAGGATCTCCCTACTTTGAGGACTCAGGCAATAAGCCTCTTTGTCCTTGACCCTTGTTGGGAGACACATGTTGTTCCTGCCTGTCCTCTGTCAAGTGTGCTCCTTCCGAGGTCTTGGCTTGTCACTTCTGAATTGGGAATGTGTTGGTTCTAACTCCTCCTTTGCCTAGGTGTGGGCTCCCAACCCTGGGAGTGTGAACTCCTGCTGGCCAGCACACCAGCCACCCAGGCCAGCAGGGACAGCAGCCCACTGCTGGATCTCCCCGGTGGGGCGCTCTTCTTTTCTGGAGCTGTACATGCACGAGCAGCTCTCAGCTGTGGCTGCCTGCTGGAGGCACCCAGGTGTCTGTGGAAGTTCCCTTGCCCAGGCTCCATGGCCTAGGCTGCAGCTGTGCAGGTTCATCCACATCCCAGGAAGGATGCACAGCAGGCTGCAGTGACCGCTGCCAGGTAGCTGCATTTTGCAGACAGGAGGGAACCTTTGACTTTGTAAACCACCGACATGGTGCCAGGTCCATGCCCCAGTGGCCTGGGGGCCTCAGCTCCAGCTCTTCTCTCTCCTCTTCCAGACCTGATTCTTTCCCAGCACACGCACATGCGCATGCACATGCACGCCAGGTTGTATTTTACCCAGTGATTTGTAGGTGTGTTATATTTATTCTAGTGGGTGTTCAGCAGTGAAAATAAGAGCCTATCACGTTATGATTAGAAAAATAGCCTTTTAAAGTTAGACAGATAGGCAGCCAGCCTTTATTCCCTCTTTACTGTGTGCCAGGGCCTTGCCTAGGCATTCTACATGTGTGTGTTCCATCCCTAATGTGTGTTAAGCCCTGTGTTGAGGTGTTTTATGTGTGTTGTCTCATTTGATGGTTCCTAAGAACCATCTTGCAAGGTAGATGGTAGCTTGTCTTTGCAGATAGGAGAACTAGCTTAGAAAAATTGAATAATTCTAGGTCACACAGCTCACAGATGGCAGAGTCAGCCCCAAGAGACACCTAGGCTCTGAGGTGCGTATAAAATAGAGGCTTTTACATTTCCCATACAAATTTATTAAAGGTTAGCACTTGCTTAGAATAGGTTCTGGGGATCTGTGACATTTGTTTATTGAGAATACTGTATGTCTCATAATGCCAGGATTGCTCTGTACATTTCATCTTCTGAGAGGACAAACATTTTGACTAATAAATTATTATTTTTGAAGAAATTTAACTTTCTTAAATCTATTAAATAAACTTGGAGTAAATAATATGTTTAACTCTGGCCTGTGTCGTGAAGGGATGCTTTTTATAAAAACAAAACAAATACTTGTCCCTCTTCTCATTCCTTAATCTGCAAGGAGGCTGGTGTGTGTGTGTGTGTGTGTGTGTGTGTGTGTTGGGGAGGAAGCACAGGACAGGGATAGAAGAGAGAAGAGTTGGGGGTTGAGGACCCCAGGCCACTGTGGGAGAGGCAGGACTTGGAGCCATGTGGCGAGGCTGCCTCAGGAACCCCGTGGGGGTTGACTGCCTTTTAGCGGTGAGTTCCTGTCTGTCCCCCCAGGCGCTGCAGGCATCAGGAAGAAGATGTCCCTACTTCTGCCTTCTCACCCTGGCTTCCCTCTGGCCTTGCTCTGTGGGGTGAATGGCTTTGTGAGGAGTTACACCTTTATTTTTACCAAAAGCCTAGAGAAATCCTTCTCTGTTAGAATGTTTGGGTCAAGCTTTTCCATAGCATGGGGATGTCATTTCATTTCAGCTGAGTGTAGAGCGAACTGCCTCTAAGTCTTTGTCTTTGTCATTGACAGCTTTCCAACTGGGTCTTCTGTCAGTGTGTCCCCGCCTCAGGAAACCGGCAAGATGGCTGCAAACAAGAGCAAGGGCCAGAGTAGTTTGGCCTTGCACAAAGTGATCATGGTTGGCAGTGGAGGAGTCGGCAAGTCGGCCCTCACGCTTCAGTTCATGTATGATGAGGTAAGACACGCCTGCGCAGGCCGCCTGCATGATCACCTCTGCTGTGGCATGTCCTTGCTCCAGCTTCCGTGCTCTCCCGTGCTGCATGGGGTGCACGGGAAAGTGGTGTGGAGGTGGTTTTCCCGGAAGCTCTGGTTACTAACCTTAGGTGGTTACTCTGGCTGTGTGGGGATGTGAGGAGTCTTTGCTCATGTGGTTTTCATTGTTGTTCTGGGAGGGAGGGAAGAGCAGCCTTGGTACAGGTGCAGTAGTTTTAATCTTGCTGTCCCTCAAAGGCCCCGCATCATAGGCTTACTCAGGACTTTTCCCGGGCGTGACATCCACGTGGACATAGGCTCTGTGAAATTAGCCAGGGAGATAACAGAACCCTAGTTGGCGAACACCACCAACCCTGTCCCACTTCCTCTCGTGCTGGGTATTGTCAACGTGGTCCTGTGCATTTTTGGTTCCTGAGGAAAGTTGAGTTAGGGTTAGGGTTAGCTGGGGAGTGGTGGTGTAATGTGTAGGGGCTTGAATATGCTCCACTGCGTGGTTATTACTTACTCACTGAGCTGACTCTGGCGTTGTGACATGAGGCACAAGGCCAGGGTGGCTCCTGCTGTGCACTTGTCTTTGGTACTAGCATTGTAAGTATGGGGACAGTGATGGAGAACAAGGAGCGGGACGTGGAGCGGGAAGCTGGTCCTGAAAGTTCTTCCAAGTCTTACAGTGGAGCCTGATGAGGTTTTCTAAATGCACACTACAGTTGTCCTAGGTATTTGTGAAGGATGGGTTCTAGGACCCTCCACAGCTACTCAAAGCTATCAATACTCAGGTTCCTTTATAAAGTGGAGTCGTGTTTATAAATGACTTACACACAGTGTCTCGTATACTTTTAAATCATGTCTACATTGCTTATAACACTTAATAAAATTCAAAGGCTAGACAAATAGGATTATACTGTATTATTGTGGAAATAAAAACAAGAAAAAGTCTATGTTCAGCACCGGTGTAGCCTTTTTTTTTTTGCTTTTGCTTTTGCTTTTGGTTCTTTGAGACAAGGTCTTACTATGTAGCCCAGGCTGTCCTCAAGCTTATATGTAGCCCAGGCTGGGCTTGAACTCCCAGCGATCCCCTTGTCTCACAGAGATCTTCCTGCCATAGCCTCCCAAGTGCCAGGATTATAGGCGTGAATCACCATACCCAGCCTAGATGTGGCAGTTGTAGGCCTAGGGACATGAACAGTCTGACTACATCTGTGGATACAGACCCTGTGGTGACAGTGGGCTGATTGTATACAGAAGTGGAATCACAGGGCTCACCTCATCCCTAGTGCCACACTGGTTGGAAGCCACAAAAGTGGGCCTTTGGGAAGAGGGTTGGATCACAGGGTACTGTACTCATCAGTGCATTAATCTGTTGATAAGTTCATAAGTGAATGTGTAGTTAGGAGGTCAAGGAGGCAGATATCAGGGATAACTGGCAGCGTGACCTGGAAGGGGGATATTTGTCCCTGGCTCCTTCCTTCTCATTCTGTTCCCTAGCTGCCATGGGGTGAGAGAGCTTTCCTTCACCATGCCTTTCTGCCATACCCTTCTAACCTTGGGCTCTGAAATCATGAATTAAAATGAACCTCTCATTCTTTAAGTCATGGGTGTGTCTGATATTTTTTCCCAGTGACAGAAAATGACTAACACAGTTACGATTGCATTTCTCATTCTTGATAAATGTTTATTTTTGTATTCCTTAGTATATGTGTAATTTTGAATTATCTTTTTAAGGAGGGGCCCCCCAAATGAATAAGCATTGAGTCAAAACATGGATACTCTCATGGGCCTTACCTCCTGTGTCTTATGTGAGGAGCTTTTAGGGCTGATACCAACATCCCTTTATCTTAAGCTATGAACCAAAATGGGTCAGTCTAGCAGAACCTGCTGAATTTAACTAAAACAATTTTGCTTTAAAGAAGAGAGACAAGTTGAGAAGTCTGCTTTGGAAGTCTTACTTGTTTTTGCATAATAACTTGTACTTTGCATACTGAAAGCTCCTTATTTTTCTTTTGTAACAGAGCCTAAAGAAAGAGAGTAAGGAGGGGAAATTAGGAGAGGAAATAACAGGATGTGGTAAACAGGCAGGGAAGGGGTTACCTTTACAAGGACTGTTTGGCAGCACCTGGAGCCATTTTCTTTTGTCATGACTGGAGGGAGGATACTGCTGGCATCTAGAAGGTCAAGGCTGCTAACCATCCTACCATGAGCAGCAAGCTTCATAACAAAGAATTATCCAGCACAAAGTATTGATAATGCTGTGGTTGAGAAACTTTATAGAGACTGCCTTTATCTGTTTTTTGTTACTATAACAGAATACCTAAGATTGTGAAATTTATTAAGAAAAGAGGTTTATTTTGGCGCATGGGTCTGGAAGATCAGGAACATGATCCTGGCTTCTGCTTGGCTTCTTTTGAGGGTCACATGCTGCTCCATCATAACAGAAAGTGGAATGACAGAGAGGAAAAGAGGCCAGGTAGTTTATAGCAACCCACTCTGGAATTATTTTCATCCCTGCATGAGGGTATGTCTTTCAATTTGATAGCTTCATAGGGTTCAGCCACATCTTGTCACCTTTACATTAGCAACTCAGCATGAGTTTTGTTGGTGACAAGCCGCATCCACACCATAGCAGAGCTATGGTAGCTGAGAAGGAAGATTCCTGTAATATAGGTGATTGAGAGGCCTCAGGTTGGAAACAGCTCAAATCTCCCTTGACACTGGGATCTGTTCTGCTCAGCACAGCTGCACAAGAGACTAGGAGGCCCTGTCTGGATGGCTGGTTTTTTTGTGTGCATCTACACATGTGCAGATGGCAGGAGGGGAGAGGTGTGGTGCTGTGGAAGTGTTGAGAGCTTTTCTCTCTTTCCTAGCTTCTTCACAGGGAGGGAAAGCTCTTTGTGACCTTTGGCTATTTTTCTTGTGGGTGAACATATTTGAGAATTAGGAAGCAGCAGTTAGCAAGGAAATGGTAAAATAAGACAAGGAAAAAATAGAAATGAAGTGATGTGTATGCTGAGGAATGGTTAATTGACTTCCTAAAACAGTGCTGTTTGGTAGAACCCTTTGCTTAATCTGTGTGCCTGCTATGCACTTGAAATATGGCCAGTGTTTATTAAATTAGACAAGATAGTTCGAGAATCATAATTTTGGAGCTTGAAGAATCACAACAATGATTCCTAAACCTAGCTTATCATAGGATCTCCCAGGAGACCTTTTTAAAAAACCTCTTCTGAATAACTTTTCTGGAGCAGAGGACTGGGGCTCCCTTTTTACAGTGCTCTCCTGGTGATTCTGAGGTGAAGCCTGTGCAGTAACTCCTGCCTGAGCTATCTAGAATAGCCGGATTTCACAGAAAAGGAGACTGAGTTCATACTGAGGGTATCTGCTGATTAAATCTCACAGGCCGTTCACACTCTTTGTTCCTTGTCCAGTGCTTTACCCTCAGGTGAAATTTGTTTAGCTTATATGATAGGATTTTCATAAAGATTAGATTATGGAAGGAGCCATTGTCTCTAGTCCCGAATATTCCTCTCTAAATTCTGACTTTGACAGTGATTAGAAGGAACTGCTACTATGGGGCAATCAGAGATTTTAACCCTGTCCTTGGACGGCATCCTTCCATCTTTCTATCACTATCACAAGTATTCCTAAGGTAAACATTTATAAAGAGAAACATTATTTTGGCTTAGGTTTTAGAGGTTTCAGTCCATGGTCAGTTGAGCCTGGCACTCTGGAGCCTCTGATGAGGCTGAACCATTATGGTGGGGGCAGAGGCAGCAGAGCAAGACTGCTCACATCATGGCAGGGACACAAAAGAGGAGAAAAGGACAAGGCACAGCTCTTCAAAATCTCACTGCCAGTCACTTGAAGGCCTCGCTCTGGCCCCAGCTCCAAAGATTTCAACCTTCCCAGCAACTCCGCAGAGTGGAGACTTTGTATTTAATACCAGGGCTTTTGGGGTTGTTCCAGATCCAAACTCTAGCAAGAACTTTCAGCTTCTTAATGTTGGGAGAGTGAGTTGGGGATGAAGGGTTCAGATTTGACCTCCTGCAAGGTCTTAGACATGACACAGGGTGAAGTGTGTCCTGTACTTGTGCATCTGAAAGGGAATCACATGTACCGCGCAAGGCCCATAGAAGATGAGTGTAATTCATGATAACAGAAACAAAGAAGGGTGATTTCCTTATTCTAGCCTGTAAAATCAGGGTTGCAGTGGAAGGTTCTAACAGTGTGCTTGGCTTTCTCTTAGTGCAGAGGTAGGCAGGCGTCTCCGGTCATTCTGACTTCCACGTCAAAGGCATCAGTGGACCTCTGGCTGGCTTCCTCTCTGGAGCTCACAAGTACACAGCCAGGCCATTACGTGGTGTGCAGAGATTTTAAGTGAGGTGTGTTTTTTCCTTTGTTTGTATCTTTGGGAAGGAGTTAAAAGGACACTACTGTGAAGTATATAAAGGTTTTCACATTTTCTATGAACATAATTATTAGTATGAAATTAAGATAACCAAGTATTAAAATACTTTAAGATTTTTATTTTTAGATTTAAAAGTCACTAGAATTTATAGCCATTAAGTGATAACACAAAACTTTTTTTATGAGTATGATTTGAAGGGCCATTTTTCCCTGTTGATGTGTTTTCTAATTTATAAACTAAAAAATTTTTAAGTTAGAATTTTACCACATAATTCAGATAGCCTTAAATTCACTTTTAAAAAATGTACTGCTCATGTTTTGTGTATTCATACAGACATGCTGCAGTCACCATTGTCTAATTTTCATCACTCCAAAAAAAGAATCCTGCCCATCCGTTTCAGCAGTCCTTCCCTGTTCCTATTTTCTTCCCTCCTACTCCTGGCCCAGGGCAACCACTCTGTTTTTATGCGTAGTTTTTTCGGGCCATTGCATATAAATGGAATCTCATTGCATGCTGCCTTTACATCTGGCTGCTTTCAGTTCCCCGGATGGATTGGAAGTTTATCCTTGCTGTAGCATGTAACAGTATTTCGTTCTTTTTTCAAAAGCAATTGAGGTGTAATTCACATAAATTTTACCATTAACGTATACACTGTAGTAGTTTCCTGTATATTCACGAAGTTGTGTAGTTGTCACCACCATCTAATTCCAGAACACTTTCATCACTGAGAAAAACCCAGTATTTATTAGCAGTCACTTCTTGTTATTCCCCATCCCTCCAGCGTGGGTAGCAGCTGTTACTCTACATTCTTCTATCTCCAAAGATTTGTCTGTTCTGGAAATTTCTATACAGTATGCAGCCCTTTGTGTTTGGCTTCTTTTTGTTTTGGCTTTTTATACTGACCATAATTTGACAGGGTCCATCCATGGTGAATGTGAGTCAGAACCTCACGTCTTTTTATGACTAATAGTCCATTGTCTGGATAGACTGTGTTTTTGTTTACCTATTCTTTGACTGGTGGAAATTTGGGTTATTACTACTTTTTGGCTATTTTGAGTGAATTGCTATGAATGTTTATGTACAAGTTTTTATGTAGGCATTTGTCTTAAATCCCCCAGCTACATATATAAGGAGTACAACTTACACTCTTTTATAGTATAATGGCCACTAGGCATCTTTTATGTGCCTAGTGGCCGTTGATATATTTTCTTTGGAGAATCGTCTCCCTTGCTTTTATTTTTGTCCTGGGAATTGAACCCAGGGCCTCATACATGCTAAACCTGTGCTTTACCACTGCATACACCCTTGTTATCTTTGGGTATTTTTAATGGACTGTGTTTATTGTTGAGTTTTGAGAATTCTTTGTAGATTCTGGAAATGTTTCTTATTAGATGTGTTTCACAAATGTCATGTCCCATTCTTTGTGTTGTCTTCTTACTTTCTTGTCCTTTAAAACAGGAAAGGTTTTAATTTCAGTGAAGCTGATTTGTCTGTGCTGTGTCACTTCGGCTTTTTTTTTTTATCGGTACCGGGGATCGAACTCACGACTGTGCGCTTGCAAAGCAGGCACTTAGCCGCTGAGCTAAATCCCCAGCCCCGCTTATGCTTTTCATGTCCTATGTATGAATCTAAATCCAAGGTCATAAAGATTTATGTCTGTTTTCTTCTACGAGTTTATAGTTTTAGTTCTTATGTGTAGGCTCATGATCTATATAGAGTTAGCTTTTGTATGTGCTAGGAAATAGGAGTCCAGTTGTACCAGTGCCATTTCATTTTTGAAAGTAATTGTTGTCATTGACTCTGTTTTTTGTGAATTTCTTGATGTTTAGCATCATTAAGATTATTGATTTTGATACATAACACAGTATAAGGAATATAGCTCTAAATGATACCATTATAATAATGAACTATTGAAGGGGAGTTTAATATTTCCTTGCATATTTTGGAGTGCATTTTATCAAAATAGTACTCTCAAGTTTCATGAATTAAACTGTTTTTCTGTGTGTCTTCATTACCAGTGAGTATTCTGGCAGGTTTATTTGCTTTAGTTTTTCTGTTTAATATCTTTTACATTTGCTTTTTGTCCTTTTTGGCAAATGCATATACATATATAAAACATATTTTATCCCCCTACTTTCTTTGGGCAAAATGGGCAAGCTATTATATTTTCAGATTTCCTATATATTTGTGCATATTCGTTTTTCCTATTTTTTGTAGGTGCCTAGTACTCCATTGTGTGGATCCCTGTTGCTGGGCATCGAGGAAGTTTTTAATATTTTGTGATTATACTGGGTGCTGTGGTGAATTACTTTGTCTGTTCCTGTACCTGGGTTTCTGTAAATTAGACTCCTAGCAGCAGAGACAGAGGATGAGGTGCTTCCTTTATTTTATCAGATGTCAACCAGTTCCTCTCTGTGGGGATTGTCCCTTTGTTTGCTCACTGTCAGTGCTCAAGTGTCTTCCCCTAGAGTGTGTCGTCAGACTTTCAGGGTTGTGCCAGCTGGCAGGTGAAAAACGGTGTCTCGGTGTGCTTTTAATTTTATTGGTGAGGATAAACATCTTTGCATGTATTTAGTATCCCATGTGCTTACTTTTATGTGAATTGCTTGTATCTATTGAACATTTTTTCTATTTGATTGTTGATATCCCTCTGCCCCATTTCTAGGACTCTGCATTAGAGATCAGCCTTTTGTAATATGGGTTCAAATATTTTTTTTTGTTTGCTATTTCCCTTTGTTTACAGTGTGTTGTGTCATGCCAACATTTGAGCAATTTTTTTAAAATGTAGTCTAATTTATCAATTTTTTCTTACATGGCTTCTGGATTTTGAGTCATAGTTAAAAAGGCCTTCTCTACTTCAAGGTAATAAAAGGGTTTCACCCATGGTTTCTTCTAGTACTTGATTGGTTTTAGTTTCAATGTTTCATCTTTGACCCATTTGGAGATATATATATATATATATTAGTACATACTAATTTTACCAAATATTAGACTTCACTGTGACATTTGCATACATGTAACATACTCAAAGCAAATCTATCCCAGTTGGAGTTTTATCATGTTGTGGTTGCTTAAGTACCTGTTCAGATGATATTTCATGCTTCTGTTAATTGTGAATAAGAGTTCCTGTTTCACCCTTTTCAGTGTCGGGATTATAATTGTATACTGTTCTGACAGTAACATTGTCAGACATTTTGCTGTGAGCTTGCTTTTCTCATTTGTAAAACGGAACTATCTTCTCCATTATTTAAAGACAAAAGAGAATAAAACAAAGCTGTGAAGAAGTGAAGTGTTATGTAAATTGCTGTTTTTCCTTTTTTCTTTTAAAAAAAGTAAAAATTTCATAACAAAATATTAAGACAATAACAGTTAATATTCTGTGTATCATTTTCAAAGTAATTACATTATTTTTATTTTATAGTGACATGCATAGTGTGGTAATCATAGGCACTTGAGGAATTCTTAATTGAAAAGTATCTATGTATCAAACTTTATTTTTGTATAGATGTTTTTTCCCTTTAAAATTCACATAATTCCTGGTAATTTGTTTCCCCAGTTTGTAGAAGATTATGAACCCACCAAAGCTGACAGTTACAGAAAAAAAGTGGTTCTCGATGGAGAAGAGGTCCAGATTGATATTCTGGACACAGCTGGACAAGAGGACTACGCGGCCATTCGAGACAACTACTTCCGGAGCGGGGAAGGGTTTCTCCTCGTGTTCTCCATCACAGAGCACGAATCCTTCACAGCTACTGGCGAGTTCAGGTGCGTGAAATAGCCACATGCAAGGAAGTCGGGGCTCAGTGTTGTGGGAAGAGGTTGGGCTTGTCATTAGGAAGAATTCTGTGTTCTGTCTATGGTTTCTAGGGCTTTCTGCAGCTTGGCATATTATGGTTCCTCCTGTTTTTGGACTTTTGTGTTTGAGGATTTGGGAATGTAAATTATCTTAGGAATTTTATCTTTGAAAGAGGACACAGCAGTTTCCCTACACCCAGGAGCCTGTAATTCTGTTCCTGTAAATTCTGAGAATGACTGACAAGACTTAACTATTTTTTTCTTTAAATTTTACCAAAAAACCATTTTGATCTACTTGTTGATGAGCTCTTGGCGGAAGATGAGCGGTGCAAGGCGGAAGGACTGCTTGCTGCTGCTGGCAGTGGGGGCAGCAGGCAGGAGGGAACTGGCTTGGGGAGCTGCAACCTAGTCTGGATCCCCTTACTGGCATTGTGACCAAGGACAAGACTCTTTTTTTATTTTTATTTTATTTAAGGAGAAAAAGAAAAAAAAGCAGAAAAAGAGTACAAGTTATACAGAATTTCAAAAAAAAAAAAAATAAACAGTAGGAAATCACTAGTTAATAGATTTGTCATCTTAGAAATAGTTGTTCAAGTTACAAAATTAAAGCATATAAAGTGGACATTCAAACAGTGAGACTGCAAACAGTTCTGTTCAGTGATCCAACAAAAGTCAGTAATATGGTTATCTATCTTACACACTTAAAAATATACATGCAGTTATGTCCTTTAAAGCACTTTGTTTTCCTCTCTTATGTACAATGACAATTACACATTTTGGGTTTTATTACTCCCACAGTTCTTATTACTTTTTTTTTTGAAAAGAGTAAAACCAAATGTGACATAACAGGACAGAGTCAGTCAAATCAAAAGAATGGACATATACATAATGTACAAACAAAATATAAGATGATCAACAATGGTTACCGTAATGCCTCTTGCTATCTTAAAAAGAATTGCCTATATCATCAGTTATAATAAAATTGAACAAAACAGTAAAGAACAAAACCAATAAAACCAAAACACTGGAAACATTACAAGACTTCAAAAGAAGATAATAGTCAACCAGAATGGGCGTCATAGTGAATCTTATTGTCTTCATAGTTGTTGCCTATACTTTTGAACTTGCTACTATCAAGCAAAATAGAATAGAGGAAAATCAGTCAAAACAAGATGGTGAGAGCAGTATAGGGTTTCAAATCAAGTTAATAGTAAATCAAAGTGGGTTACTATAATATATCCTGCTATTTTTTATTTATTTTTCCCTTAATTAAAAGGATAAAAATAAAAAAGTAAATAATAAAAAAAGGAGATTGAGATAAAAGAGCGCATAACAATAAAACAGCGCAGGTCAAAACATAACCATTTAAGTAAAATAGTGTTTCACCACAAGATAATCCTGACATAACTACTTTTATATCGGGATTATCTTGTGGTGAAACACTATTTTGTAGTGTTTTGTAGTAGTTACCATAGTGTCTCTTTCCTTGAAATCTTTGAATATAACTTCGTATACTGTAACATCAAACATATCAAGACAATGTAAAACATTTTAAGGGAATGACAGTATTACAGGGTATTTAGAATCAACTAACAGAAAATGAACAATGGTTTCTGTATAATCTCCTTGTCTATAAAAGTTTTTGTTTATATTATCACATATAATAAAATCCAATAAGATACAACATGTTAAGACCGATGGAGACAGAACAAAAGCTTGATGAGACTTCAAAACAAGATGATATTAAATCAGCACTAGCTATTATGATGTCTTGTTTTCTCCAAAATAGCTTCATACCATCCAGCCTTCTCTGCCTCATTTCTGTTGAGCTCTTTTTCTGTCATTAGTTGTCAGTTTGTCTTCTTCATTTCGCTTTCTGCTCCATTCATTGTGGCCTCCCTGCCACTGTTTCTGGAATCTTGGTATTTTTCTTTTTTAGAATATCCTGCAGTATTCTCTGTAGAGTTGAATTGGTGGTTGCAAATTCCCCTAGTTCCTCTTTATCCTGGAAGCACCTTGTTTTTCCATCAATTTCTAGGGACAGTTGTGCAGGATATATCAATCTTGGCTGGAGGTTATTGTCTTTCAAAGCTTGAATTATTTCCCCCCATGCTCTTCATGATTTGATGGTTTGTGCTGAGAAGTCTGCTGTAATTCTAATGGGTGTTCCCTTGTAAGTGATCTGTTTCTTGTCTCTGATGGCTTTTAATATTCTGTTATATTGGATTTCTGGAATTTTGATTATTATATGCCTGGGTGTAGCTCTGTTTGCGTTATAGGTGGCTGGGGTCCTGTATGCCTCATACATCTTTACCTTTTACTAAAGTATCTTTACCTTTTGCTAAATTAGGGAAATTCTCCTGGATTATTTCTATGAGTAGCTTTTGTAGTTCATTTGTTTGTGTCCCTACTTTTTCTTTTATGTTCTTAATTCTTAAGTTATAGATCCTCTTATCATCTTCTAGCCTTTGTATTATTGCTGTTGGTTTCTTTGTTATTTTTAAGAAGTTTTTCATTTCATGCTCCCACCTTACAAATCTGTCCTCCAGTTCAGATAATCTATCCTTAGTTTCTTTCAAGCTGTTATGCCAGCTTTCAATAGAGTTTTTAGTTTCCTGGTAAATCTCTTTGAACCTGCTTCACATATTCTATGTTTTTCCTATTTTCTCCATCAAACAATTCTCCCCTTTTTTTCTGTTCTTCCATTCCACCATCTGTGTTTTCTTGGGCAGTGCTTAGCTTTTCTCTCACTATTCTACTTATATCTTGCTTTATTTCATTAAATGCTTCACTTTTGAACTCATCTATGAGGCTCTGGAGATATCACTTTATGTCTATTGGTGCCGTGTCTGATATTGCATGTTTTCTGTCCTCATTCTCCTTTGCATTTACCTTTCCTGGATCAGTGTTCTCAGTATTGGGGACTGAGGACTCTTTCTTATTGCTCCCTCTTCCCATACTTTTTGTTCCTTCCATACAAGCATATATAGGAGGCCCAGTTTTTTTTCTTCGTCTGTTATAGTTTGTTTGAATTCACCGGCTAGGTGTTCCTGCCCACTGCAGTGTACTAGGGAGACACGGACCTGGGCAGCCTCTGCTGGGCCCACCCCTCCAGGTCAACCTACTGGAGGCTTCACTGCTAGGGTGCACCGCCAGGTGCTGGGACCTGGTTTGGGCTAGCCTACTGGATCTTAGTCCACAGTGTCACCCAGGCCAAGTGCTCCCCACCAATCCCACTTGAGAGGGGAATACGTGACTAAAGTCCTGTTCCGACTAGTCTGCCCGGTCCCAGAATGTCCTCTGTTGGAGCCTCCTAGTCTATGGAAGAGTCCCCGTTCCTCTCACTCACCGCAGGTTGATGCAGGGCTCCCCGCCAGTCCCGCTAACTCCGTTGGCTGATTCTCGCTCTCAGAGCTTTCGTGCCTCTCTCTCCCTGCTGTGCTGATTCAGACGCAGCAGCAGTGGCAGGAAATTCAAATCACAGCTTCCAGAGGTGCAGGTTCCAGCTTCTGCGCTGAGATTTTATCTGTTCTGGTTATAGCACCAGGATTGCATTTCCAGTTGGTTTCTCTCAGCTTAGTTTGTTCCTAGGTTGGCAGGGTATATCTCCCCTTACTTAGGACTGCTCACACTGCACCATTCCTGGATTCTAAGCTGGCAATCTCAGAGAGCCTCCGTAGCTGCTGTTATCTGTCCGCCATGTTCTCCCGGAAGTAAGGACAAGACTCTTGAGCACTGGAAATTCTGTTTCTTTCTTCGAAAATGCACCTGTTAGTTGAGAAATGAGATCCAGTGGTGCTTTTGCTTGTGAACTGCATATGGACAGGAACTGGGTTCATTGTGTCTCCCTGTCCCCAGCCCTTCTCTTCCCGGTGTTGCCCTTGGGGCCTATGCAGTGGGTGGGCTATTCCCTCATTTTTAAATGTGGCCCTTAAAGATGTTTCCTTTTTTATTTCTTAAATTAAGAAATATTTTTTGGGCATAATTTCTCTCATCTATAACTTTCTTTTTACCACATATCGTTTCCATTCCTATGATACAATTGTATATTTTCATCTACTTTCCTTATAAACATATCTATCTATATGAGTCAGCTTTCTGTTGCTATGATAAAATACCTGAGATAAACATCTTAAAAGGAAGAGAGTGTATTTTGGCTCACAGTTTCAGAAGCTTTGGCCGGTTGATTTTGGACCTGTGGTGAGGCATCATGGTGTGAACGAGTATCAGAAGAAATCTTTCACCACCTCTCATGCAGAATCAGAGGGAAGGAGGGAAGGAGTGGAAGACAGAGACAGACAGACAGACAGACAGAGAAAGGGGCTGAAGCTCCCATGTCCACACTTTCAGCGACCTCATTTTCTTCTACTGCATGTCGTCTCCTAAAGGTTTTAGCACCTTCCAGTAGTGCCAGAGCTGGGGCCCAAGCTTTGGACACCTGGGTCTTTGGAGGACATGTAAGATACCAAGTATAACTCACACATCTACCCACCAAACTGGAGTCTTAACAGGGCACTCGTGAAAACAACTAAACAAAAAACAGTTCATTTTTTTCATTCTTTAGCAAGTTTGGTTAGAAAGTAAGATGATCAATCAAAGAAGAAATGAGGAGGCTAAATATCCCTCTCTGTTTGGAAGGTGGAATCTGTGAGCCAGGGAGGCCTCCAGAGTGAGTTCAGATAATCCAGCAGCGCGAGCGCAAGCAGGGCCTCTGTTGTTCCTTCAGAGATGACACTCAGTGGGGATGTTTCTACTTCTCCATCCTGCATTCTGTGATTGTCTACATTGATGCTTATGATATACAGTAACATTTCACAATAATAAAAATATCCACAAGTGTTTCCATATAGTTAAGTACAGCTATAAAATATTTTAAAATAAAGGAACAGGAAGAAAAACAAGTAGATACTTGAAGAGAACCTACAAGCAGCTTTGCTATACTCTACATTTGAATGGGGGTCAAAGACAACTTCATGTATGCTGTGGTTAGAATAGCAGAACTCGTGAGAAGTCTTAACAATTTTTAGACTTTTCAGATACACCTAGCAGTTTCAGTATTTGAACATAACTCATGCTTCTGTATTGTGTTTGCATCTCATAATTGTGTTTTGATATGCCATGAGGATAAAGCAGCACAGAAGCACATGCACTACCTTATTTCCTTCCTGAGCCTTTTAATTTTCTGCTTCTCCAAGACTCAGTGAGAAGGGAAGGATCAGTCTAGCAGTGTCCCCTCCAAGGAGCAGCAGTGCCCGCCGGTGACCTTCAGGGGCTCTCAGATTCAGCGAGTGTCACCTCCTCTTGGAAGAGGATCTTGGTGTCATGTGGGAAGAAGTGTCCTTAGATGCAATAGGAATCCCTAAAACAAAAAGGAAGAGAAGTTAGTATGAGCTCTGGGACTGCTTGGGTATCTCTTGTCTCCAGAAACAAGAATGGAGTGTATTTTCTGAACTCTGCTAGTAAAACCAGTTACGTTGCTTTATATCTGTGACTGCTTTAAGACATTGTTTCTGTATTTATCTTTTTTCCTTTTCTTTTCTTGTTTTTTTCTTTTGGTACTGGGGATTGAACTCACGACCTTGTGCTTGCCAGGCAGGCACTTGTGCTGCTGAGCTAAATCCTCTGCCCTCTGTATTTATCTGCCAATTGGAAAGGTCTCAACATTAAATGAAACACTGCTATACTCTATCATCCTTGAAACTTCCTGGATAAAATCCTATGAGCTGCAAGAAGTGGGCCACCACAAGGTGCCAGTACTTGATACTTTCATTTTTGGAGACCTGTGTTTATTAATGGATATTTACATATCCCTGTCAGACTAACAGGCCAGAAAGCTGTCAGTTTTTACTGTTCATATATGATACAGATCATACAACTTCCAAATGGGTCATGCTTGCTAACATGTTCAAATGTGTAGAATATATCAAAGCTACTTAAAATTAATTTTCTTCTATATATGGTAGTTAAATTGAGTATATGGAAATTTTTAGAAATGTTTTTATTATTATAAAATGTTCCCCTGTGCATTATAAATATCTATATAGATTTTCACGGTCCAGTTTCTAGTGGAAGTGTAGAATGTAGAAGTAGGAATGTCCCCAATCCACAGCAGGTGGCACATGCCCATAATGGGAGGCTGAGGCAGGAAGATAGCCTTGTGTTTGAAGCTAGCTTCCTGGGCTATATAGTGAGCTCGAGGCCAGTCTGAACTATACAGTGAGATGCTGTCTCAAAAAAACAAAACAAAACAACAAAATTCCTCATTGGATCAGACAAGGAATTGGAATGTTTTAATTTCTTATTATTTGGTTTTGATCAATACTTTAAGTAGCTGATTATTTTTATTAGAGATAACATTTAGTGTGCTACATATAAACTTTTTTGTCTTTTTGAGACAGTTTCACGATGCAGTTCAGGCTGGCCTTGAACTCACTTTGTAACCCAGCAATGCCTTGAACTTGCAGCACACTCCTCCTGCCTCGGCTTCCCAAGTGCTGGAATTATAGGCGTGTGCCACCATGCCCAACCAGTAATTTTTTTTAAGATAAGACATTTTTGAAGTACTATGCCATGGCCCTTGGCAGTATTTCACATTTTTCATCTTGAAGTGGGAAGACAGTGTGCACTGAAATGGGCACTGCCAGACATAGCTGTCCCCGTTCTGTTGGCCCGAACCTTCAGCACTGTGACTACTGTGTGTGGGAAGAAGTGTCCTTAGATGCAATAGGAATCCCTAAAACAAAAAGGGATGCCCTCCGGATCTGCGTGTCCCATGTCCTGGGATCTCAACTACAGTGGGGCCTGTGATGGTTGTGTTGGAATTGAACATATACAAACTTTTTTCCCCTTTCAGTTATTCCTTAAAAAACACAGTGCAATGATCATTTGTAAGGTTTTACCCTGGATTGGTTATGTAAGTACTGTACAGATGATATAAAGTTTACAGGATGCAGCAGTTACATGCAGATACAATGCCACTGGAGGAAGACACTTGAATATGTATGATTTTGGGATCCTCAGGGGCCCCCAAACCAGTGGCCGTAAGAGCCTGAGGGACAACTACACTTTCATGTCTAAACCAGAGACTTTCCCAGACTCACGCTTACTACTGGAGATTTCTTTTCATATCTTTTCATATCACGCTTACTACTGGAGATTTCTTGGAATGTTCTTGTTTCATTCCATTTTGTAATCTATTTTACTGAATAAAAAGTAAGTCAAACAGCCCTGCTGGTTGTGGCTGCCTAAGCTGATTTCAAGATCCACTATCATGCTGCCACTTTTCATATGGAAAACTAGATGATGGAGCTTTTATAGTCACAGATTTTATTTTTCTTCGGGGGAGGTTTTTTTTTTTTTTTTTTTTTTTTTTTTTGTCTTTTTCATTTTTAGTCGCTACTGGGGATCGAACTCACGACCGCCTGCTTGCAAGGCAGGTGCTTATGCCGCTGAGCTAAACCCCCAGCCTGTTTTTCCTTTTCTTTTTGGTACCAGATGTCAAACTCAGGATCTTGCGCTTGGCAGGCACTTAGGCCCCTGAACTATATCCCCAGCCCCTGTCAGGGGAGTTTTTAACCATTTGGGTTTTTTTTTTTTAAATCCCAGATACTGGCAGGTTCTCCTCTTCTTTTTAAAGTGTATTACTGTAAATTGGGGACCCTGTTGCATTCCTGTCCATAGGACAGTGCACCCACAATCTGCACTTAGAGAGAACATGCCCCAGGCAGGTGAGCACCAGCGTCCACTTGGGATTCTAGGACCCCTTGCCTGGCTCTGGCTGCCCCTGTCAGCGCCACCTAGGAGCACGCTTTAGAAGGGCAATGCTTGCTTCTGCCTTGGGGGATTCGTCTGAGATGGGCTGGTGAGACCGAGTTCTTATCCTGGCCTCCTTTGTGGTGTATTTTCGGTCTGACACCTGCAGGGAGCAGATCCTCCGAGTGAAGGCCGAGGAAGATAAAATTCCATTGCTCGTTGTGGGAAACAAGTCTGACTTGGAGGAACGGAGGCAGGTGCCCGTGGAGGAAGCCAGGAGCAAAGCGGAGGAGTGGGGCGTGCAGTATGTGGAGACTTCGGCCAAGACTCGGGCCAACGTGGACAAGGTAGCTGTACTCTCCAGCTGTGTCTGGGGCAGATTTGGGCGGAGCGGAGCAGAGCTCTTTCACTAGTTTGGGTTTGAAGGAACTGTGTGTGGGATGGACTCAAGGATGCTGTGTTCCTCCCGATGTCTTGGCTGTGAAAAGCCTGGGCTAGGTCTGGCACTGTGTTTAAAGCATCCCGTGGGGGTCCCTTCTCTTTGCCATTCTGCTTGGTTAGTGGCTGTTTACTTTTGGCACAGTGCTTGGGAAGTATGGCAGTGTGAGGCCATTGGCTTAGGAAGCCAGCCAGGAGCGGACTGAGCTTGTCAGCACACTCTTCTCCACAGCTGGCCACGGTCAGGGCAGGGCTGGCTGTGTCAGGCTGCTGCTTACATGGCCTTGAAAGGAGCAGACCATTTCTTGATTTTGCTTCTGTCGATTTATCTAAAGCAAAAGGTGAAAGATGTGTTCCTTTCACCTTACCATGCGTTGCTGGAGCTGGGCATTCTGTGTTTCCCTTTGCCTCTCCTATCAGAACACGCTTTCAGGCATAGACTTGGGGATCTTGTCTCTCTCTAACCCCATTCTGAGACAACTTCTTCAGATTTCTGAAGCCAACAAAAGTGACCATGATCACGATGGATGTTGACAACTTGAAAACCCACTTACCAGTGATGGCTGTTGTTAGGCCTTTTTTTCCAAGGCGGTTTCCACAAAGCTAAAATAAGCTTCTTAAAGGCGTGGCTCTGCCACTGCCTTCTCCTGGGGTGTCGGCTCTTCCTCTGTCATCCATGCTGCTGTGAAGTCCAAACATGGAGTTTGCGGATGCCAAGCAGGGGCTTCGTCTGCTCCAGGTTTTCTGGTGGCTGCAGCATCCTAATCCCCAGGTCCTGCTTTCTGTTTCTGTTTTGGGAAGAAATAATTCTCCTTTGCTTTGTACCTGATGGGGAGAAAATCTTAATCAGGCTTTGCTGGAGCTGGAGGTGATGCTTAAGGGACAGGAGGGTTTGGAAGTTGGCCAGGCAGGAGCATGCAGTGCCCACCTGGTCAGACCCAGGGTCGGGTGCGCTCCCCTGTCAGCGGCTTTCTCTCTGTGGTGCAGTCTTTTAACCTGTGTGGACCCTTGTGCTGTTTAAAATCTCTATCAAATTGTGGGAAACACAGAGGAACTCCAGATACATATTTCATTTTTTCTTAGCCTGGCACTGCTGCTGTGTATTCTTGATGACCAGGATGGCAGGGGGAAGGGGCTGTCACACAGCTGTCACCTCCTCCACTGGACCAGCTTGACCTGCCAAACAGGAACCAGCAGAAACTTATGACTGGCAGCATTGTATTCACTGGTAAACAGTTTACAAAAAAGAAGGCTGTTGATAAGATCAGCTGATGAACAACTTTGTTATTTTAAGTTGAATGCACTCCATTCCTCTCCCCCTGCCTACATTTTTAAGGTAGAAAGAAACATAGCATTCAGAGCTGCTTCCTGTTGCTCTCCTGCTGTGACCTTTCCTGAGCCGCTGGCAAAAAAGGGGTCCGTAGGTCATCCAGAGCCAGCTACAGGGTCCCTTTTCTGTGCCTAGGGCTCATGCCTAGTGCAGGTGGAGTCCCACATTCCAGAAAAACAGTCTTCCTTTTCACCAAGAATAAAGTCTGAAAATAAAAGATAGGAGCTGGTGGTGTCATGCAGCTGTCCAGAGATAAAAACCCGTGCTCCCTGCCAAACTTTCTGTCTCTTTTGTTCTCTATGAGAAATCTCGACTGTCCTTCTGTAGGGTCATGTTTCGTCTGCTTGACTATAATCCGTCCTCCAGCACTGTTGCTTGTAGTGGAGGGAAATACTCAAATTATTGTGACAAATGATAATCTTTATTTAAATAACACTCTGACATTTAGAGGTCAGGTCTCATTCGTAGTTCTCGATAAAGCTCCTGTCAGCTAACATGGCAAGGACCGAACACCAGGCTCTGGGTGTCCGTGGAGGGGTTACCCTGACAAGGCGTCCTGCCCTGTTCCTGGTCCACCCGCTCCTCCTCCACTGCCTTCCCAGGCTGCTGGTGTGGCATCTCCCCAGAACGTGTCACCAGGGATGCTGTCTCAGCCCATGCAGGGCCCTTTCCTACAGGATTCAGTGAGGTGTAGAATCATTTTATTGTTTCTTTTCTGGTGGTCCGAGATGCTGGGAAATCTGATTCCCACTGCCACTCTCAGTATTTGTAAATTTGACAGTTTTAGATCTGTTCTTGGCAAAAGTTTTTTTACTCATGATACTTAAAAGATTTATCATTTTGAGACCAGCCGTACAACAGTATCAGCAGTGACTCTGTTCTTAGCCACCATTGAATGGTGTGAGCAGGGATGTTCGCACTGTAGGATTAGAATGTTTTGGGGGCCAGGGATGCAGCTCAGGGGTCGAGCACTTTCCTAGCATGGGTGACGCTGTGTGTTCTATCCCCAGCACCACCCGAAAAAATGCTTTTGAGATTATTTGTATTTGTTCTACATGCTTTCTTGTGAATGGTTTATAACAATAAATTTGATATGCTCTGCTGTAAAAATGTACCTGCATACCCTACTCAGTTGTTCCCTAAAGCACTAAGTGGGTTTTTCCTGTTCTTTCTAACCTTCCTCCCTGCTCCCAGGTGTTCTTTGATTTGATGAGAGAAATCAGAACAAAGAAGATGTCAGAAAACAAAGACAAGAATGGCAAGAAAAGCAGCAAGAATAAGAAAAGCTTTAAGGAAAGGTGCTGCTTGCTGTGAAGACCAGGCTGGAGCCCGCAGCCCGTTGCTCTGGGGACATGGGGCTGGGCCAGGCGCTGAAGGCTGAAGGCTGCGGGTCACTCCTCGTACTTGCTGTTCTGCTCACTTGTTCATTGCACTTCTGTAAATGGTGAAAATACTTGTGAACCAGTGGCTGGCAGGAGAAATAAGCCCTTGCACATGCAGTGACTGGCTGCTTGGTCAGGAGCTTCAGAGTTCTGCTCTCCTTCCCTCCCTCTTCCCTGCCCTCCATCCAGACAGGCTAGGTAGATAGTGCTGAGGTAGGAGACAGTAAAGTGTAGATTTAAAAAAAACACAAACAAACCAGTATTGGAGTAATACCTTATTTTCCCCAAGTTTTATAACTTTTCCATCTTTTGTTTTGAAATAAAATGTCTTTTTTTTTTTGAGACGGGGGTCTCGCCATGCATTTCAGGCTGGCCTTGAGCTCACTTTGTAGCTCAGGCTGGTCTCGAACTCGCAACGATCCTCCCACCTCAGCCTCCTGCGTGCTGGGATTACAGGCTTAAGCCACCACACCCGGCTATAAAATGTCTTTTTAATAGGTTTTGGAAGAGGAGGCTGCAGTGACTCTAAACCTTAATAGTTTAACAGCAGAAAAATTCAGCCAGCTTTAGTGACAGTTGGAGTTTAGTGACAGTTGAAGTTTTTATATAAGTGTCTTGGTCGTACCCTGTGGATCTGAAGCGCAACTAGAAAAATGAACTTGAATTAGGCCAAATAAGTCAACGCTAGGATCTTAAACCCTCCTCTTGTGTGAAACATGAATGTTGTAAGTTCTTTTCTTTGTGTTTGGATATTGGCCAGCTGCAGTCTGCATTGGCTCTCTACCTCCTCAGCACCCTGACGTGGTGTAGGAAGTTATTTAGGTGGTTGACTAAGTGAAGACTCTCGAGGGGTGTGTGCTGTGGGAGTGACACACTGCTGTAATCAGGTCCTACTCAAGCCCTTGGTGTGGACTCTCCTACCTGCCAGCTGCTCAGCGTGGTCCTTTCTTCCTGTCCAACTCCCTGCGGGAACCCCAGACCTGCCCTCATCTGTTTTGTTCAATGTCACATGAATCTGCTGAAAAAATGCGATGACTTAAAATTATATCCTAGTCATGAAGCCAGAGCCTGTTCCCAACCTGCTACCTCTCCTAGAATTGCTCAGTAATTCTAAATTTACAATTAGAAGAAGCAGGGAAAGATAAGCCATTGCCCCCTCTGCCTCTGAGAACTGGCTGCTGTTTCTAATCTGATTCTTTTCTGAGACAGGCAGATAGTTAGGAAAAGATTTGTACTGAGGAGAGATCATTCATCTTTGTTACTGTATCAGTATTCTAATACAGCATCCTGTGGGGCGCGTCCTGTGGGGAAAGGGTTACCATGACCAGAGCCTGGCCTACAGCACACTTGTTTAGGTGCCAAAAGTGAATTGGGGGCAGGGGGCAGGAGCCCCGGGGAATTAGGGTAATTACAGAGATTGTGCAAATGACGGTCTGACTCCTGGAAACCAATCTGGCATCACTTCCCAGAGAATCATTTTTTTGAATAAAAAAAAGCAAACACTTTTTCAGAATCTCGGCCTTTTTCTTTTATCCCCTTGTCCGATACATAAAATGTATGTAATAAAATACTGATAGTAAGTCATGCATTGTTGTGCTTATCAGATAACCTGCAAAATTAGACAAGCCATTTTCAACTAATCCTTTGAATTAGGAAATGAAGTCATAAAATATAAACCAGGTGTGGTGGTTTATACCTTTAATCCCAGCTACGGGGAAGGATGAAGAAGTAGGAGGATTGCAGTTTCAAGGCCAGCCTAAGCTCCTAGCCAGTTTCAAAAGAAAAGGAAAAAATTTTGGGAATGTAGGTCAGTGCTAGAGTACTTGCCTAATATGCATAAGGCCTTGAGCTCACCTCTCATTAATCCCATACACATTATAAGTCATAATTTTAATTTAGGAGACAATACTGTTTTCTTACTAAGATTTTAAAAGCTGGGCCAGATGTGGCAGTGCACACCTATAATTCTAGTACTTGAGAGGCTGAGGCAGGATGAGTGCTGGGAGTTCAAGGCCAACCTAGGCTGCATAGTGAGTTCAGGACCAGCCTGAACTACAAAGCAAGGTACTATCTCAAAACCGGCAGGAGTGGGGGTGGAGGATTTAAATTGAAGGCAATTGCTCTTTTGAGTTTATGAAATGACTTTTGTGTGTGTGTGTGTGTGTTTGAGACGGGGTCTCTCTATCCAGTTTCAAGCTGGCCTTGAGCTCAATTTTTAGCCCAAGCTGGTTTGAACTTGCAACAATCCTCCTGCCTCAGCCTCCCAACAATATTAATTAATTAATTAATATTTTTTTTGTGGCACCGGGGATGGCACTTGCTTTCTTTGAGCACATGTTGAGCCTGTACTTTCTTGGGCCACTGTCTGCCTTTGTTGGACTTTACCCTCTTTTACTCTCATGCTAGGGTATATTTTCAAGAGGCACAGAACGTCTGAGAGTGCCATTCCGTTTGGTCATTATTTGATGACTAGCTTGTCTTGGAGTAGAATTTTGGTTTCAAAATCATTTTCCCTCAAAAATTGGAAATCTGTGCTCTAGTGTAAAGAGCATCCATCATCAGAGATGAAACTCGCACCAAATGGCCACCCTTTGGGGCTCTACACGTCCCCTCTGTTAGCCCTTCATCACTGACCAAACACTTCAGATACTGTGTAAGGTGGAAATTTTTTACTTTGGCTCACAGTTTTGGAAGTCTCAGTGCATAATAGGTTGACTCAACTCTTGGGCAAATGATGAGGCCACACGTCATGGCAAAAGGAACTGATCATCTCATGGAAGCCAAAGAGAAAAGGGAAGGGGCTGGAGTATCAGTATCCCTTCTAGGGCTCCCGTGACCTAACTTCTTCCCCCGAGGTCCCACCTCCTACAGACTCACAGGCTGGGAATCCATCCTTCAGCGCATGCCTTTGGGGTGTCACTTGATGCATCCTTCTCATCCGTGGTGTGGGTCTGCGGTGATCTGTTCTGCATCCTCCCGGGGATGTTTCCTGTCTTTTCAGTTCTAGAAATGTTTTTGAAATTGAATTAGTTCTTTTATTTTCTGTTCTTTTCAGAATTGTTACCAGATTTTGGACCTCTCTGAGCCATATCTGCTTTATCCTTTCTTACATTTTCCATCTTTATTTTCTTCCAAATTTATCCTCCTCCTAACTCTCCCTCCTTTTTTTTGTCTTCTTGGAGCTTTTGCCAGGAGAATCAACTTTCTCTTCTAACTCATTACTCTGTGTATGGTGCAAACAAGAGCTTTGTCTCTAATTGTTCTTTTTCCCATAGCATCTGTTCTTGTCCTTATTATGTATTCAATATCTCAACTTCTAGGACGTTAGAGCTTTTGAAAGCTGTATTTGAGAATCATCTTTCTTTAATTTTTATTGTTTTTCTCTTTATTTTTTAAGCTGCAAGTTTTCCTCAAGCATCTTATGATTCTGGTTATACAGCCATAGTCTTAGAAGGGGCTAGAAAGTTGGCCAGGAGGTCCTGGTGCCTGAATGGGGCTTGTGAGACAACAGGCTGGACTTTGGGGTGGTTGGGTGAAGACACAGTCAAGGTGCTGGGGACCCTTCCTGACTAATTGGACCCAAGGGGCCAAATGCCAACTCCTTTGCAGACACTTTACATGAAGACCCCTGGTGGGGTCAAGAGCCATGGTGAAGGAAATCCATGTACTTAGCATGTAAAAGGCCCTGAGTTTGATCCCCAGCACTAAACAATAAGTAAACAAGTAAATAAATGCATACTGTGAATATAGACTTCCCAACTTTTCATTTATTGCAGGACAGGTCCTGCCTGATTTGAGGACATTTTGGAAAGGGCATAGTACAAGTTTTAAAACTGGTTCGAGTCCTTTGGATCATGTCTGATCTCTACTTGAGTAGATGGAGATGTAGATACTTCCTCTAACCTCTCCCGCCCAGTGTTTGTCTAATTTAAATGATAGAGCATGTCTGGACATACCACCGCTAGCTACTAATTCCTGCTGCCACCAAGCTAGATAGTTCCAGTTGTACCCACAGTACTGTTGCCAGTGATTCACTGCTGCCTATGTCATGAGGTCAGAACAAGTCCTGTATGAGGAGCCCAGGGTGGAAGGGAGATCCAGTCTCCTGCCCAAGCTGGTGAAGGCCTCTCAGCCCAGTGAGCATAGATGAACCCCGAGTCACTGAGGGATGTTCCTGCCATGTGTCCCTGCTAAAAGGCCATGTTTGGTGTGGCACTGAGAAAGAACCAGGGGTCTGAATGATCTTCAGTTTTCTTAAGGAAGTTAGCTTTTATCAACTTTATCTCTTTTAAAGCAAGCTTAAAAGTAGTTACTACCTCTCAAGGAGATAGGCAGGCTGGCTTCTGAAGAAATCACCAAATAGTTGTATGTTTTCAGTAGGGAACAGCTAGAAAAGCTTTTCTAAAATCTGCTTTACTCAGGAAAACGCGAACGGAGGAATCTCATCATTTTACACCCATGTGTAAAAGTACGTGAGTACAGGCTATGAATTCTACTAGTCGCATGTTGTTTTGAATGAGAACGCTAAGAGAGGGTGTCTTTTTGGCCCATGAGCTTCTCTTTTCTGCACAGGTTTCCCAGTTGTGGGAAAGGGGAGGTAGTTACGTGCATTGGGCAGGGGTGGGCGCCAGGTTAAGTATGGGTGTGTGGGGACTGGATTCTGGCTGTGTGGACTTGAGAATGGTATGTTGCCACCCCTGCTGTGTTGTCTTCCTGCCCTTGGTCAGGATGATGGTGTGACTTCAGGCTGACCTTTGCCCAAATGCTATCAGCCTTGTTCACTCTTACGCTGTGTAAATTATGTTCTTTATTAGGGAAAAATTGTTTTGACTGCGTATGTGCATAGATTTTTGTCTTGGCAGAGATGCTTCAATTATTTATTCTCTTGGTTAAACCACATTACTCACTTTGGGCACAGGGAGTGGCCCTGTGTTCTTGCAGTAGCTGACAGCCCCACTGCAGTCTGCTCCTGGTTTTGCCAGGCTTATTGGGGCAAATCCCTGGTGACTTCCTCCCACCAGCCGAGTGGGCCTTTTCCAGTCTTCATAGCATTTGCAGATGTTTCCCTGGCTTAGCTTCCTCCTACTTGTCATTTCACCTGTCTGACTCCTTGGGGACCCATTCCTTTACAGGTTTCACTTCTCCCCTTTAAATTGAAGTATGACATGCAAACAGTGAAGCACCCTGACCCTTGCCTCACGTGTGGGTGCCCTGCGGCTCTAGGGTGCTGCAGACCTAGCATCCCTGCCATCCGTGGTCTTCCTGCCAGCGCGTTCCCATCTAGTGGCAGCTGCTGGCTGCACCCGGCCTCCAGTGCACCAAGCGCCTTCCCGACGCTCCTGCTCAGCCCTCTAGCTTCTTGCTGCTTCTCTGCACTCTTCCAGCTCCTATTGTCCCGTGGATGGCACTGAGTCCTACATGTGTACATGACTGAATATACTGTTCTGCCCTGTCTCGAGGCTCTTGTGCTGTTGTAGGACTGCACGTGTTTGTAAAACTGAATTAAGTATCTTAAATGTAAAGTCATATAACTTTGACAAAATACGTAAAGTTTCTTATCCAGGCATGGTGGTATGTACATGTAATCCCAGCATTGTAGGAGGCTGAAACAGGAGAATCACAAGCTCAAGCCCCAATGGGGAACTTAGTGACTTAGTGAGATCCTGTCTCAAAAATTAATAAAAGGAATAGAGATGTAGCTCAGTGTGAAGGCTTTGGGCTCAGTCCTCAGTCCCACGTAAAAACACTTTTTCCTTTTTCTTTTTAACTGTGCTGTGGAACACAACCCAGGGCTTTGCACCTGCAGGAGCTGTACCATTGACCTATGTCCCCAGCCTTAAAGCTTCTTTTAAGATCGAGTTTCCAGAGGCAGAGCAAAGTAAGAGCCGAAGTGGTGAGGTGCTGTGTCTCCAGAGCGGACTTGGCAGTGCGCCTCCCAGGGAGAAGCTTCCCATGGCATTGACAGTAGTTTATGGCTGCTGCCTTGATGGTACCTACTCTTAGTATCTGTGCTGTGGGGCCAGCCTTGAAACTCTATTCTGCCCTGTGTTGCGTTGTAATGTGTGCCGGCTCTGCTTCCTAATGTGCACCCTCTTCCTTCCCTTCTCCTTCCCCACTTCCCCTCTCTGCCCTCTCCATCTCCCATCAGTGCCACTGCAGAGATTCTGGAGCACCCTCCAGAGCCTCAGGGACCTCTGGACAGCCACTATCCCGTTGTCCTTTGCCCTTACTGTCCGGCAACCTGCCTCTGTGGGAGCAGTGCCTGGGCGTAGTGGAGGGGCATTGGCTTGGGTTCTGAGTTCTTCCTCTGCCTCTTGAGAGGTTTGTAGCCTGGCACATCCCTAAGTCATCCAAAGTGACATGGGCAAAGTTGTAGCTGGACAGAGTCCTTTCCTTTCACTACTCTCTCTCTCTCTCTTTCTCTCTCTCATGTAATCACACCACCTGGAATCTCTGTCTCCTCCAACTTCTGACCGTGTTCTTCCCCAACCCTTCAGGGGCTCCACCTCCTCA